ACACTGAGGATGGACACACGGGATGGGACACTTGTCCCTGCTGTCCCCAATGTCCCCACATCTGCTATCCCTTGGATGTCCCTACTGTCCCCAATGTCCCCAGTCCCCTGGATGTCCCCAGTGTCCCCAGTCCCCTGGATGTCCCCAATGTCCCCTGCAGAGCGAGGACGCCGGGGAGGCCGAGGAGGAGTCGGACGCCGAGAGCCCCGGGGTGCTGGGGGCCACGCCCCGCCCCGACCCCACCACGCGCCTCAAGAAACTCAAACGGGGCCGCCCCGGGCGCAAGAAGAAGAAAGGTGAGCGTCCCTAAATGTCCCCAAAAAGTGTCCCCGCGTGCCACCACCACCGCCACCCTCCCCTGGGCGATGGGGACGGCCGGGTGACGTCCCCGTGTCCCCTCCCCCTCCTCCCGTCTCTCCTTGCAGCCCCCGGCGCCGGCCCGGGCCGGGAGCGCGGCCCCGTGGGGACGGGCGCGGCGCCCGCGCACGGTGAGACACCCCAAGTGTCCCCAAGGTGTCACCCGGGGTCCCCAAACCCCCACGGGTGTCCCCTCTGAGCGGGGACCGCTGTCCTGTCCCTGTGTCCACCCCAGTGGTGGTGGCCACTGGGGGCGTCCCTGGCCCCTGGTGTTCTCTGAGGGGTGCAGCCATGTCCCTGTGTCCCTGTCCGTGTGTCCCCAGCTCTGTCCCCAGCCCTGTTGCATGTCCCCAGACTTGCTCCCGTGTCCCCAACCCTGTCCCCATGTTCCCAGCCATGTCCCTGTGTCCCCATCCCTGTCCCATTGTCCCCATCCCTGTTCCCGTGTTCCCAGCCCTGTCCTCAGCCCTGTCCCTGTGTCCCCATCCCTGTTCCCAGTTTCCCCATGTCCCCATCCCCTCACCTCTGTGTCCCCAGTGCCCTTCAGCCCCCCCCAGTGTCCCCATCCCCTCACCTCCCTGTCCCCATCCCCAGTGTCCCCAGTGTCCTCATCCCTGTCCCCACTGTCCCCATCCCCAGTGTCCCCGTGTCCCCGTCCCTGTCTCCAGTGTCCTCACCCCCAGTGTCCCCACTGTCCCCATCCCCAGTGTCCCCATCCCCTATCCTCAGTGCCCACATCCCCCTGTCCCCAGTGTCCCCGTTGTCCCCCACGCTCTCTGAGCCCCCTGCGGGCGCGGTGACAGCGGTGACAGAGGTGACAGCGGTGCCACCACCCCCGCAGGGCCTGGCCCGGAGGAGGAGGGCGATGGCTACGAGACGGACCACCAGGACTACTGCGAGGTGTGCCAGCAGGGCGGGGAGATCATCCTGTGTGACACCTGTCCCCGAGCCTATCACCTGGTGTGCCTGGACCCCGAGCTGGACCGCGCCCCCGAGGGCCGCTGGAGCTGCCCCCACTGCGTGAGCTGCGGCACTGGGGGCACTGGGAGGGACTGGGAGGGACTGGGATGGGGTTTGGGGACATCCTGGGGGCACTGGGATGGGGTCTGGGGACATCCTGAGGGGACTGAGGGGACTGGGATGGAGTTTGGGGACATCCTGGGGGGATTGGGATGGGGACTGGGAACATCCTGGGGGGATTGGGATGGAGTCAGGGGGCTCTGGGGGAGCCTGAGGGGATTTAGGGGCATCCTGACCTGTTTTGGGGCCATTCCTTGGAGTTCTGGATGTCCCTGTGGGTGTTTTAGGGCCGTTCCCTGGAGGTTTGGGGTTTGTTTTAGGGCCGTTCCCTGGAGATCTGGGGCTGTTTTGGGGCCATCCCCTGGAGTTTTGGGGGCTGTTTTGGGGCCATTCCTTGGAGGTTTGGGGTCTGTTTTAGGGCTGTTCCCTGGAGGTTTGGGCTCTGTTTTGGGGTCATCCCCTGGAGTTTTGGGCTCTATTTTGGGTCCATCCCCTGGAGGTTTGGGCTCTGTTTTGGGGCCATCCCCTGGAGTTTAGGGCTCTGTTTTGAGTCCATCCCCTGGAGTTTTGGGGTCTGTTTTGGGTCCAGCCCCTGGAGTTTAGGGCTCTGTTTGAGTCCATCCCCTGGAGTTTTGGGGTCTGTTTTGGGTCCATCCCCTGGAGTTTTGGGGTCTGTTTTGGGTCCATCCCCTGGAGTTTTGCCCACCCCTATGGGGCGGTTCCGGTGTCACCCCGCTGCCGCTGACCCCGAACCATCCCCAGGAGAAGGAGGGGGTGCAGTGGGAGGCGAAGGAGGAGGAGGAGGAGGAGGAAGAGGAGGAGGAGGAGGGCGAGAAGGAGGAGGAAGATGACCACATGGAGTACTGCCGGGTGTGCAAGGACGGCGGGGAGCTGCTGTGCTGCGACGCCTGCGTGTCCT